CCCTGCCCTTGTTCCCCGCACGTCCCCGCCTCGGTCCCCCCCCCCAGCAGTCGCGGGGCCCAGGCTGGGTCAAAGTCCCCAAGGGAAAAGCCAGGTGCGGGGTGGGGCGCGGCCGCCGGGCCCGCCCCCAGCCCGCCTGACCTGTCTCCAGGATTCCAGCCTCACCCGGAACTGAGGGAGGCCCTGACCACTGGCTTCCTGCGCCGGTTGCTCTGGGGTAGTCGGGGCGCCCAGGCACCCAGAGCCCAACGCGTGGAGAAGTTCCAACGTGTCCTCAGCGTCTTGTCCCAACGCCTGGAGCCCGACAGCCCCTCTTTACCCTAGGAACAGCCACACTGCCGGGGAATTCCCCCCCCCCCAAAAAAAAAGTGGGTAAGAAATTGCCTCTTAAAATATGCAGGTGTCCTGGAGCCATCTCCATGCCATACCCCTCGGCCGGGACACTTGGCAAACCTGAAGTCTGCAGATGTGGTATCAGAGTTCAAATTTCCTTCTGTGTTTGAAAAGCTGTGTGGCCTCCCAGCAGATCACTTGACCTCTCTGTGCCAGCCTGCCTTATACCTTAAAAGCGCTTTCTAGGGATTGTGGCTGGAATGAAAGCTCCATGCTTATTAAATGCATGCTGGGCATTCAGTAGGTGCTCAATAAACACAACCTGTTCTCAGCAGGCTGAGTTCTTTCCTGGAGCTTACAAATAAGTCACCCCCAGACAGGCACAAATGGGCCAGGCTCACCTCCCCTGCCTCATTTCCTCTGGCCTGAAACAGGGGTGGTGAAGATAAAAGCACACGCTCCCAGGTGTCTTATATAACGTTTTATATAAAACAAAAATGGCCCAGGCCAAGTGGTAGGAAGAAAGGACTGGAAACTTAAGTATGTTACATCCAGGCTGGAAGGCACAGCGGGGCCACTGAGGGGTGACAGGTGGACGGGGCGGGGCCAGCAGGTTACACAGGTCATAGGCAGAAGCCACGAGGGACAGAAATAAAGTGCATAGGTTCTGGGGGGCCCCCCGTGGCCCGGAAGCAGCAGCCGCCAGCCCCCCTTCTTCCCAGGTCGGGCAGGGTTCAGTTGAGCGTGATTCGGAGGTAGGAGGTGGGCACATAACCTTCGCCTCCTTCTTTCTGCCGGACCCGCGTCCAACCGTCTCCTTTATCCTCTTCCATCACTAGGAGTCCTTCACCCTCCATCATGGAGATGGTACCCTCGCTGGACCCTATGGTGGGGTGAATTTGGGCACATTTAGCCAGAGCATAGCCACATACCCACACACCAAGGCAATACAAATTGCCACCAGGCCTGGCCAGGCTAACCGCACCTTCAAACTGATAGATGGCCACACACTGGCCAATGGGGGACGTAGGCTCCTCAAATTCTTCATCAAATTCTGTGTAAATAGGGGTGTCCTGGCCCTCTTCCAAGGGTGTCTCCTCAGAACTGGTTGGGGAGAAAGAAGGAATAAGAGCCAGGTACTGGTGGCTCACACCTATAATCCTAGCTACTCAGGAGGCTGAGATCTGAGGATCCCGATTCAAAGCCAGCCCAGGCAGGAAAGTCCATGAGACTCTGATCTCCAATGAACAACTCAAAAAAGCTGCAAGTGGCGCTGTGGCAAAAGAGCTCAGGGACAGCGCCCCAGCCCTGTGTCCAAGCCCCATGACTGACCAAATAGAGATATGGCTCAAGTGGTAGAGCGCCAGCCTTGAACAAAAAAAGCTCAAGGACGACGCCTTGGCCGTGAGTTCAAGCCCTAGTACAAGCAACAACGACAAAAGAGATAAAACAGGGTAGGGGGGAGCGGGGGCCCTCTGGAACCCCAGGACCCCACCCTCTTGGGGTTCCCTACTTACCTTTCCTTGTTATCCTGGGAGCTACTGCTGCTGCTGTCTGGGGGTGCACTGGCAGGGGGGTCGGGGGGCCGGGCGTGTCTTCCCAGGCTGTCCCCTCGATTGCTCAGGACCCGGTTCTCGGCTTCTGCCAACCAAGCCTGGGATGTCAGCATCACAATGTCAGGTGTGGGGCGGGAGTCCAAGGTTAGCCAGAGATTTCCTGAGTCTTCCCCTAGCACGCCCAAGGCAAAGAGCTGGATCCCTCCCCCAAGACCTCCCTAACCTACCCCCCCCCTGCAGTGACTCACTTGGCCAGGCCTGCTGGGCCCCCACCCCTCCCCAGAGTCCTCTCCTCTTACCTCATACTTTTGAACTTCCAACTTGAGCCTTTCAATGTTATTCAGAGTTTCTGTGATTCGGGGCTCCAAGCTGGCAGGGTCCCCCATCTGGGGTGTCTTCTCATAGACATCTTTCATCTTCTTCAGAGCATCCCTGACCCCAGACAGACAGACAACAGACAGAAGTACAGTGTAGGTTCACAAGTGAAAAGCAGGGTCTTGATGTGGTTACAGAGACAAATGTGGTAGTGCATGCCTGTAATCCCAGCCCTAGGGAGGCAATGGCAGGACCATGAAACAGGAAACAGAAACTCAAATGCAGAAGCTGTATGAAGTAGTTCACATCTACAATCCCAGCTACTCAGGAGGCTAAGGCCACAGCAATGCTGGAACAGACAGTGTCCAGGTCAGCCTGGGCAACACAGTGAGACCCCATCTCAAAACACACAAAAAAACCAAAAAACTCACAGATGGGAGTACTACACTGCTTAGGTTCAAACCTCCACTGGAGCTCTTCTTAGTGGTATGAGCTTAGGACACATTATTAAAATACACAGGCACAGCAGCACATGTCTGTAATCCTAGCTACGCAGGAGGCAGAAGTAGGAGGATCACAGTCCAAGGTGGCAAAAAATATAAGACCCTACCTAAAAAGTAAACGAAAGGATGGAGGTTGGGTGTGCATGGCTCAAGCGACGGTGCCCCTGCCTAACAAGTTCCAGTCCTGTTGTGAATGAAAGTTATTGAAACCTTACTGCTGATGGTTGCCTGGAAACTAGAGAAAAACATACCAGTATCTGTCAGCGAGACCATCAGCGTAGTACTCGGTGCACAATGAGTCATAAATAGTATTCAAATTTTTTTCTTCTTGTCAATACCAGGGCTTGAACTTAGGGCCTTACTCAGCTGGCTTGCTCAGCTGGCTCTCTACCACTTAAGCCACATCTCCCACGTGGCCTTTTGCTAGTTATCTTTGGAGATTGGAGTCTCACAGACTTTTCTACCTGGGCTGGCTTGGAACCTTGAACCTCCAGATCTCAGCCTCCTGAGAAGCTAGGATTACAGGCGTGAGCCACTGGCAGCCACCCCTTTGTTCTTTTAATAGATGGAGAAACTGGAAACACAAAAAAGCTACAGCAAAACCAGGCTCTGTGGCTCACACTTATAATCCCGATTACTCAGGAAGCTGAGATCCGAGGATCGTGGTTTGAAAGCCAGCCTGGGAAACAAAAATTTGTGAGACTCTTAGCTCTAATGAACCAGCAAAAATCCAGAAGTGGAGATGTGGATCAAGTTAGCGAGTGCCAGCCTTTAATGAAAAAGCGAAATGAGAACAAGGCCCCAAGTTTTGAGTCCCAATGCCAGCGTGTACACACACAGACAGACAGACACACACACACACACACACACACACGCAGAAAAAAGCTGGGCGAGATCTGAGCAGGCAAGCACCCAGGATGCAACAGTCCTGATTCTAGGTGTGAACCCTTTATCCCCAACACAAAATCCCAGGAACCACATAGCATTGCATCCAGAAGAACTGTTTGGCTACAGCAATGTAAGAGTTTGGCTGCCTTCTGAGGAGCAATGGTTACGTAACTGGGCTGGGAGAATTTTGTTGTTTGGAAAGGATGAGTAAAGATTTTCTTCTTTTTTGGAATCTGGCAGATCTTTGGTTGTTAATGCTAGGGTTTTGGTTTATGTTTTTCTGGTCATTCGTGGGGTCTTGAACTCCTGACCTAGGCATTATCCCCGAGCTCTTTTGTTCAAGGCTAGTGTTCTACCACTTTCAGCCACACAGCTCCACTTCTGTTTTTTCTGGTGATTCATTGGAGATAGGAGTATCATGGACTTTCCTGCCTGGGCTGGCTTTCAACTTCGATCCTGAGATCAAAGCCTCTTGAGTAGCTAGGATGACAGGTGGGGTTTGTTAGTGTTTTAAGGGCTTTGGTTATTCACTAGATAAACCATCGTGCTTTTCTCTCCCTTGATCCAAAGAAGGTGCAGACTGGGATTGATGGATTCCTTTGGTATTGAACCATCTTTGCCTAGCTGAGACAAAACCCCTTATTCTGTTTGGGAGAGGAGGTATCTTCCATCCCAAGTACTAGGAATTGAACTCAGGGCCTAATGAATGCAAGGCAAGCACTCTACCACTGACCTCAGCATCTTTTTTTTTTTTTTTTTTGGTGCCAGTCCTGGGGATTGAAATCAGGGCCTGGACTTGGTCCCTGAGCTTTTTCGCTCAAGGCTAGCACTCTACCACTTGAGCCACAGCTCTACTTCTGGCTTTTTGGTGGTTAATTGGAGATAAGAATCTCATGGACCTTCCTGCCTCAGGCTGGCTTCGAACCACAATTCTTAGCTCTCAAGCTCCTGAGCAGCTAGGATTACAGGTGTGAGCCATCAATCTCTAGCCCCCCAAGCATTTTAAAATTCGTTTTTTCAAAACTCTTCTGTTGTTGCAGTTAAATATACATAACATAAAATTTACCACTGTGGACTTTTTTTTTAATTCCAACGTTTAAACTCAGGACCTCATGCTTCTTTGGCTTGCTTGCTCAGCTGGCGCTCTACCACTTGAGCCACACTGCCAGCCTGGCTTTTTGATGATTATTTTGAAAATAAGAATCTCATGGACTTTTCTATCCAGGCAATTTTGAATCTCCATCTTCTGGATCTCAGCCTCCTGAGGAGTTAGGATTACAGGCCTGAGCCACTTAGACTCAGATCTTAATCTTTTATTTTTTGGTGCCAGTCCTGGGACTTGAACTCAGGGCCAAGAGAATGTCTTAGCTCTTCTGCTCAAGGCTGGTGTTCTACCACCTGAGCAACCACTCTACTTTTCTGGCTTTTTGCTGGTTAAATAGAGATAAGATTCTCAAAGACTTTTCCTATCTGGGCTGGCTTTAAACTGTGATCTTCAGATCTCAGCCTCCTGAGTAGCTAGAATTACAGGCGTGAGCCACCAGTGCCCAGCCTGTACCTAAAGTGGCATTTAAATCTCTTGTTACTGGGTTTTTTTTTTTTTTTTTGCTTCGGATGGGATCCAGGACACCGTGCATGCCAGGCAAGCAGTGTCCCACGAAGCCACGCCTCGACCTGCGGCGTGAGGACCCGAGGCACCCCGTGTCCTCCTGTTCCTCCTCCCCCTCCTCACCTCTGATCCACCTCCTTCTGCAGCTCTCGATTCCGTTCTTCCAACTGTTGCTGCAGCCGTTTTCTCTGCTGCTCTGGGGGCAAATGGCTAAAATCTTCTGTCACCACAGTCTGCAAGGCAGGATGAGCACTGAGTCTGGGACTCGGAGCGTCAGTGTATAGTCCTTGCCCTGCTCACGCCTGAGACACAGGAAGTCCACCAGCCTCCCCTGGCAGGCTTTGGTGGGGGGGCGGGGGATGGGGGAGGCGAGGCCATGCACACAGCCAAGCAGGAAAGGGGACCCACAGTGGGCAGCAGGAAGCGACCCCCAGGGGCCCTGCACCAAGCTGGCCGGGGTCACTGCCTCCTCCCCCAGGCCTCACTTACCCGCCGGCTACCTCGAAGGCTGCGGAAGGATGCTAGCCGGGGTTTGACCGACTTACTGAACTCACTCAGTATGGCCAAGGGGTCACGGCCGGAGCGGGGGGATGGGGGTCCATTAGGCAAAGCCGGGGAGTGGGGGCCCCCCAAGGGGGAAAGGGGTGGGGGGCGCGGCTACCGGCAGGGGCCGGGGAGTTTTGGGGCAGGGGAAGGGGACAGGCACGGCAGTGGGGAAGATGGAGAACCCCAGGACGGATGGACGGATGGATGGACATTAGAATGGACAGACAGAAAAAAAAAAAAGACAACGAAAAGGGGAGGGGAGAAAATGGAGAAAGAAAGAGAAAAATAACGGTAAGAAAATCACAACTTAAGATTTCTCAGAGCAACATATAAAATTGGGGTGGGCATGAGACAGTGAGCCCGAGGCCGGCCCCACCCCCTCCCCTGCACCCCCCAAAGCCTGTGGCCCTTAAGTCTTAGGTCCTAGGACTAAAGAGGACCCTGGCAAGGGAGGGGGAGGAGGCCAGGAGAACCCCCCTCCTCCCCCCACCCCCCCGGGCTCAGAGTCTAAGAGGTAGAAGAAGACGCATGCAGGAAATCAAAGTGTCAGACACACGGGCCAAAAGTGGGGTGAGGGGAGCAGCTGGCAGATGGCAGATGGGGAACACATCAGCGGGGATCACTGTCCAGTGAAGAATAAAGCTGGGGGCCACAGGTAGAAGTCAGGGTGAGGATGGGGCAAAAAGAAAGAACCAACCAGAAGCTGGGAATCGGGGCTCCCACCAGGCCCTGAGTTTGAATCCCTGTATCACCACCCCCTTCCTTCCCGCCAAAATGACATAAACCAGCCAGAAGCTCAAACATCTGCTACGGGAAACAGGAATTACATAGGGGTACTATACCCCTGAACCCCAAGAACAAAGGACGCAATAAGAGGGAATGCTCCCCAGTCCCTCCATGAAATGGGGAGATGTGGTCACCACCCCACCCTCAGTCAGCCCTGAATAAAAAAAAAAATCTCCGAGATCCCAAGAAGACAAAAGCTCCCCCCGCAGCCCCCCACAATCTCAGGGGATTCCTGGGCCATTAAGCCGCCCGCCTTCCCTTCTCTCTAGCCCGGGCCCAGGGCCAAGAGGAAAATTCCTGCCCCAGGACTCGGCGTTCCGGTGGCTGGAGCTGAAACTGCCCCCGCGGGGACCTCATCTCTCCCTACTTGCTGTCCCCCACACACACCGCACCCCAAAAGCCCCGGCCCCCACCTTGTTCTTTTTGCTGAAGGGCCAGCGCATGGCACGGCTTCGGCCAGAGCCTCGCAGCTCCGGCCGGCCATCGGATGGGGTGCCCAGGCTGCTGTCTGAGGGGGCCCGGTTCATGGGCTGGCTGAAGTCTTCGAATTCCACGTCGCCTGGGCGGGCGAAGCCGGACTTGTGCTGCTCCACGAGGACCTGAGAGTCCTGGGGGGTTGCGGGGGGGAGGACAGGCAGTTAGGGACCCACACCCACACACCCAGTGCCCACCCCATCTGGGCACCCACATTCTTAGCATCCACAGCGTCAGCCGCCACCTTCATGCCCTCCAGACACTTGGCAATGATGGGGACCACCTGTAGCTCCGCCTCGGACAGCAGCCCGTACCCCGCGCCCAGGCGCGCAGCCCGGCGCTCGTCCATGTCCTGGAGTTTCTGTAGGGACAGGACTCAGGGTCAGTCAGCTGCAGATTCCCAGGACCCAACACCCTCCACCCCTCAACACACACACATATCCTAAGCTCAGACTTGGGGTGGGAGGGGAGAGACACCAGGCCTAAGAAAGAGACTCCAGTCTAGTGAGATGGATGGAGAGATCTGGGACTGAAGTGGGGTGTGTTGGAAGGGAGTCTTGACTCTGGGTGGTCTTCTCAAAAAATAAAAAGCAAGCTGGGAAGGTGTCAGTGGCTCACACCTATCGTCCTAGCTACTCAGGAGGCTGAGATCTGAGGAGCAAGGTTCGAAGCCATCCCAGGAAGATTTTTATCTCCAATGAACCAGCAAAAAAAAAAAAGCTGGAAGTGAACAAACACAGTGGTACTAACTAGACATTATGCTGAAAATAAACTATACAACTTGTAGGTAGGGATGGGAGGGGAAAACTGGAAGAGGGAACATTGTCCAAAGAGAAATGTACAATTTTTTTGGGGTCGATTGTAGAGGCTTGAACTCAGGGCCTGGACACTGATCCTGAATTCTTCTGCTTAAGGTTAAGGGCTCTACCACTTTGAGCCACAGCGCTTCTTTTGGTTTTCTGGTAGTTAATTAGAGATCAGAGCCTCACAGACTTTCCTGCCCTGGACTGGCTTTGAATTATGATCCTCAGATCTCAGCCTCCAGAGTAGGTAGGATTACAGGCATGAGCCACCAGTGCACAGCCTAAGAAATGTACTCTTTACTTGACTTGTGTAACTGAAATCCTCTGCATATCATCTTTATAGTATCGATAAAAATAAGAAAAAAAAAGATTTTAAAAACAGCTGAAAATGGAGGTATGGCTCAAATGGTAGAGCACCAGCCTTGAATGGAAAAAGCCAAGCAAAAACTAAAGGCCCATGGGGCTGGGAAGGTGGCTCAGTGGTAGAGTGCTTGCCTTGCATGTATGAGGCCCTGGGTTCGATTCCTCAGCACCACATAAGCAGAAAAAGCCAGAAGTGGCGCTGTGGCTCAAGTGGTAGAGCACTAGCCTTTAGCTGAAGAGCTGAGGGATAGCGCCCAATCCCAGAGTTCAGGCCCCATGACTGGCAAAAAAAACCCAAAAAACTAGAAGCCTGAGTTTAAGCCTTAGGACTGTCAGAGAGAGAGAGAGAAAGAGAGAACAACAACAAATATATCCAGGCTGGGAATGTAGCTTAGTGGTAGAGTGCTTGCTTAGCATGCATTAAAGCCTTGGGTTTGATTCCTCAGTATCACATACACAGAAAAAACTGGAAGTGGTACTCTGGCTCAAGTGGTAGAGTGCTAGCCTTGAGCAAAAAGAAGCTCAGGGATAGTGCTCACGTCTTGAGTTCAAGCCCCAGGACTGGCAAAAATATATGTGTGTGTGTATATATATATTTATATTTATATATATAAATATATATATGTGTGTATATATATATATGCATAATATATATAGTTTTATATATATATACTATATGTATATATGTCCAGCACAGATAACCCTGGCCCCAAAGTTGGGACAAAAAGGGGAAGAGAAAAAAAGGGGAAATTCAAGACCTGGGGCTCAGATGCATGAACAGGAGTTTAATGAAAGCAGAAAGCATCCTTGACCAGGAAGGTAGAAGAAAAGCAAGACTCCCTATTACTCTAGATTTCGAATTCTCGGTCAATCTAGGAATAGGGGCATAACAGTTGGGGTTTGGACCTATGTGTAGGAGTGATGTGTAGGTGTGGGGTGGGGAGGGTTTGAAGCACTCACATCAAATATCTGAGGCATCTGTGAAAAGTAGAAGTGGGCCTGGTCTCGGTTGAAGCGCTGTAGCTGGGCTGCGTACTCGTTCTTGCTCTCCTCAGCCATGTGGCTACGTAGGTGAGCTTGCTGCTTGGCCTAGGGAACACCACGGTGGGTAGAGGTTTCACCCAAGTTGTGGCTATGGATCCCACGGGGGACCCCTTTGCAGTCCATGCCAGTCCCCACGCGACACGCACCTTCTCCACGTCTGCCTTCGTGGCATTGATGTCCTGATCCAGCCGCTCTGCCGTCTGGGCCGCTTTCTCTGCCTCCCGGCAATCTCGCTCAAATTTACGCTTACTCTGTGCAGAGAGCATTCTTAAGACAAGTGGGGGACCCCTGAGGAGGGGTTCAGGGTGCATGCTGGGAGCCCCGGGAGGAGGGAGATGGGGAGGGGAGCCCATGGATCAGCAAGGGTGAGGAAACTCACATTCTCCAGCTGTTTGAAGCCGTTTTCCAGCTGCTGCTGGGCCCTCCGTCCCTCCTGGAAGTGCTAGGGAAAAGGAAGAGACAGGAGGCTCACCCAGAGCTCAGGCAGGGGTCCCTGGCCAGAGCCAGGTTAGGGGACTTGGGGGGCCAGCGGGGGCTCACCATCTTGCGCTCCTGCTTCATCTCCTGTGAGTACTTGGCCAGCTCCAGGCACACGCGCACCGTGAGGTTCTCGGCCACCAGCTCGCGCTGGCCCGCGAAGTCGTTCACCTCCTGCAGCAGCTGCACAAATGATTGCTGCTGGCTGAACCTAGGGGGCCAGCAAGGAGGAGGATCAGTGTGCCCCCCCCCGCTCCCAGCACTGAGACCCAAGCCCACTACCCCCAAAGCAAGGCTAAGCTCTGGCTCTTCCCCCACCCGCCCCAATCCTCCATAGACATGTTAGATTTTTAGATCTCTCTCACATATCATCTCAACAGGGTGGCCAATGTGTGGATGGTATGGGAGGGAGAGGGGGTGAGGCAAGGTCTCACTATATATATAGCCCAGACTAGCCTCAATCCTCCCTTCCTCAGCCTCCCCAAGGCCGGGATTATAGGCAGGCCCCATAGCACCCAGCAATTATAACTGAATTTTGTACGGAGAAACATGAATATAATTGCCCCTCAGTTCCCAAAGGGAATCATTTTGAGGATCTCCTGATGGTACCAAAATCCAAGGATACTGGAGTCCCTTATATAATAGAAGTATTTGCCTATAATTTGCATAAAACCATAGCTCACACTCCTGTACACGAAGTCATGTCTGTGATTTACATAACTCGACAGAATGTAAACCCAGGAACTAAGTCTTAATACTGTTTATTTAGGTAATAATGACAAAGAGCAAAGATAGGGTTGATAGAGGCACAGAATTTTGGGGGGAGGTACTAGGGCTTGAACCTAAGGGTTCATGCTCGCACTGGGCATTCTTACTGGTAGGAAGTGCTCAACTACTTGAGTCACACTTCCAGCTCAGCTTTTTGCTGGTCACTTGGAGGTAGGGTCTCTCATACTTTTCTGATGGGGCAGACTTTAAACTTTGCTCCACTAGATCTCAACCTCAAGGTGGCTAGAACCCACCAGCTCCCAGCTGAGATACTTTTTAATTAGGGATAATTTCAGTCCCCTCAGGAAAAAAAAAGGGTGAGGGGGGAATGGCACTCACAGGATGTGGGCTAAAAGTATAACAAGTTACTCCGGAAACCCTCTTAAAACCACTAGAGCTTTTGGGATTCTGGAAGGAAAAAAGGGGGCCAAGAATAAAGCTCAGTGCTCCCACAATGACTCTGGGCTGGGTGCTGTGTAGCAACCATTCAGTGCTCCTTCTGGAAAACACTGCAGGTAGGGGACAGTGGCCATCAATCCCATCCCACAGACAAGGAAACGAGAGGCACCACAAAAGTCCCCAGTCCCAAGCCATTTGGGGTGGAATTTACCTGAGACAAACTCCCTTAACCAATGAGCAAAGAGAAAAAGGCCTAAACAGAGGAAGCTGGCCACTGGTGGCTCATGCCTGCAATCCTAGCAACTCAGGAGGCTGAGGTCTGAGGATCACAGTTTTAGGCTAGCCAGGCCAAAAAAGTCCATGAGACTTAAAAAAAAAAAAAAAAGTCACGGAGCTTGAACTGTGGGCCTAGGTGCTGTCTGTCCCTGAGCTCTTTTGCTCAAGGCTAGCGCTCTACTACTTGAACTACAACTCCACTTCTGGTTTTCTGGTGGTTGGTTGGAGGTAAGAGTCTCATGGACTTCCTGCCTAGGCTGGCTTTGAACCATGATCCTCAGATTTCAGCCTCCTGAATAACTAGGATGACAGGTATGAGCTTCTTATTCCCATTATACAAATTGAAAACCATAGCACTGCATTGGAAGATAAGCATATAGTGTATGCATAGTATATAGTAAAGCCTTGTGTACAGAGAGGCTCAGGGTTCAAGCCTCAGGATTAGCATGCACACACACACACACACACACACACACACAGACGAAAGAAAAAACAGAGAAGCCAGAGGACTGAGACTCTCCAGCCCAGGTCATGTGGGATTCTTGCATTTGGGCTCTGGATGAGAACTGGGGTGAGGGGTGAAGTGGGGGGGTGCTAAGGCTCCGCCCCCCCCCAGCCTAGCCCTCCAAACCCTCCTCCATCCTTACTTGGATTCGGGCTCATCTTTGGCCGGTCTCTTGGGCAGATATTTTTTCACCAGGCTCCTGGAGGAGACAGACAGGCAGGGGAGCTGAGCCCTCGGGGTGGGGGGTGCTCGGGCAGCACCCCCGAGGTCCCCCCCTCCCCAGCCCCGCCAGCGACGCCCTGGCCGGGTCTCACCGCAACTGCTTGGCGTAGGCCTGCTCCACCTCCGTGCGTTCTTTCACGAACTTCACATAGCGGTCCAACAGGTCCAGGCCCCACTGCGTGTGGCGCTCCAGCACCTCGAACTGATCCTGATGCGGGGGGGGGGGACCGGGGGTCACGACCGGAGATCGCACCCCAGGACCCGATCGCCTGCCCCAGAGCCTCGGAGCCCGGCCTGGGCTGGGCTGGGCTGGGCGGAGGAGCGGCTCCCGGCGCCGCCCCGGCAGAGGCGCGGGCAGGAAGCTGGCGGGAGCCCCCTCCCCTTCCCGGGAAGGGCCGGAGAACAGGGCCCGGGGCCCAAGCCGGACAACACGATCCGGGGGGCTCCGGATGGCCGAGAGGACCGTGGGACGGGGTAAAAGCCACTCCCCATGACCCCCCCACGGACTCCCCTAATCGCCCCCCTAGATTCCGGAAAATCCGGCCGGCCTGGCGTGAGTCAGGGCCAGAGAGGGGCAGGGTTTGGGGCAGCCTGAGGAGGGGTGGGGTGTGCGTGCGTGTGTGTGTGTGTGTGTGTGTGTGTGTGTGTGTAACGGGGGGGACCCTCAGAATGGCCAGGAGGCAGTCTCAGACGGGTGACTCAGTTTCCCTCCACGGACTCCACCACACCTCCGAGGGAAATCCCAGAGTTGGAGACAGGGTGGCGACCTAGCGCTGAGTCTCGCTAGCTGCACCCAAGAGTGGAGGCAAAAAAAGAGCGTATCTCACCCAGAAAGGGGAGGGGTCAGAGGTCCAGCTAGGATCCGGGATGGAAGGGGGAGGGGGGATTTCCTGGGTGAGGGGAGGGAGGCCCTGCCCTGCGCCAGGGGCGGGCTCGGGGTCGGGGAGAGCCCCTGCCCTCTCCACGGGCGTCCCGAGTCCCTCAGTGGCCGGTCGGGGCTCGCCGGTCCCACGTGGGGTGGGCGGGGGGGGGAAGGTGGCCGGAGGGTCCCCTCCCCCCCTCTCCGCTCCCCTCCCGGCCGGACAGGCGGGCGGCGGGCAGAGACCCAGGGGCGTAAGATTAGCCGCCCGTCCCGCCAGGGCGCTCAAAATAGGTGACCTCGCCCGGCTGTCCCGGGCCTGGTCTTAGGACTTCAAAAAACAAAAAACATTTTTTCTAGCCGCTTTGATTGCAACCTCGTGCCTCAGTTTCCCCGCTCCAGCCCTGCAAGCTCTACCCTCGACTGGCCCCAGCGTGTCCTGAAAACTCCCGAGAGAAAACTCCCGAAAGAGCTCAGAGGGCAGAGGGCGGGGACGCAGGGGTCAGGGGAAGGAAAAGCCCCAAGGAGCCCCAGGCTAAAAGTACCGCGCGGACAAAGCGGGAGGAGGGGGAACATCTGGGCCCCCCCCACCCCGCACCCGCCTCACTTCAGGGTCTAAGAAGTCAAAGCCGGGCCGATCGCACTCACCCACAACTCAGTGCCCCAATCCATGCTGCTCCCGCCGCTGATCCCGCCGCCGCCGCCGCCGCCGCCGCCGCCGCCGCCGCCGCCGCCGCCGCCGCCGCCCGCCACCCTCAGCGGGGAGACTCAGAAAAGGGCGGCGCGCCCGGCCCCGCCCCGCCCGCCAAAGCCCCGCCCACTGCACTACGTCCACGCCCCTTCACGCTTTGCCACGCCCCTCCCGCGCCAAGCCCCTACCCGGCTCCCTAAGGGCGGGGCCTTCTGTGGGTGTGGTCAACATGACGCCCCGCCCCCTCTTAAAGGAACGTGCCCACTCCACGCCACCGGACAAACCCCTCTTAAAGGACCCGTCACCCATTTTCAAAAATCTCTGGGGCCCTTTCTCATCCTCCTACGCCTCAGACGTTTCTTCCTTCCCTTCAACCATTCCTTAAAGAGCCAACGATAACTAAAACCCCAAACTCAAGAAGTCCTTCTCTATGCCCATTTGCAGGGAGAATCTGAGGTCAACTCGTCAATTGCGGGCCAACCTGGCTCCAGGCGTCTACGTTTGTCCCACTAATGGTCTGGTCTCTGCGGCCACAGGGCGGATGGGAGGACTTCGATCCTGCCCAGGACGAACCTCCGCCAAGGCCGGGTCCATTAGCGCTCGCACCGCATCCTGCCTTCCCTCCCCCTTAGCCCCAGTCCCCGCTGGGAAACTGAGGACAAGTCGTCCTTGGGGCACCAGTCCCAAGCCTTTTGCCCAAGTTCTGTAGCTGCCCATTTTCCGGTCTCATTCATTACGGTCCTGGGATTCCAACGTTGCTTCTCTCCTAGACTCTGGGGCCCTGGGGCTTAGAAGTCTGTCTCTCCCTCTCCCCTCCCCCATAAATATCTGTTCACACCTCGTAAATTCCCCTGAGGCTCTAGCATCAAAGGGGAGAGGCACCAGCGGCTCCTACCACGCTTTCTCCCCTGCCTTCAACACTTTCTCTCTAGCTACAACAGCGACCAAGACTCGTTGGTCCCTGGCGGGGGTGGGGGTAGGGGGTGATCGGCTCTCCTAGGCGCCAGAACTCTGGGAATCTGTGCTTATTATGGTCAGACCCTTCTGCTGGGCCCTGGGCCCCACCTGCTGGCGGCTTTCAGTGTTAAAGGATCTTGACTGGAGTTCAGCCCAGCAAAAGCTCTGTGTTCAATCCTGGTTTGGAGTTTCCATTAGATTTAGGAGTCAATCTAGGTCAGCACACAGCTGGGATGGGGGTCTCAAGACCTATTGGGGTCGTCATCTTGTGAAGAATGAGGGACTCAAAGACAGATGCAGGCAGGAGTCAGTGCTGTCTAGGGTCAGATGGCAGATATGGAGGTTCCGGGTAAGTGTGGGAGAAGGGGAGGAGGGGCGTTCACGGCCGAAAGTGGGGAGAGGGTCTGGGTTTCCTGCATTTGGGACTCAGCTTATAGCAAAGGGTTAATAAACTTGAGGTCAGCAAGTGGACTTGAATTGCTTCCCTCTGGTGTAACAGCCTTAGCCTAAGGTTGGGTTCATAGGTCATTCTAGGGTCCAAATTGAACCTGGGGCTAGGCTTAGGCCTCTTGGTGAACCAGGAAGATTAAGAGAACAGGACCGGCCTCAACAGATGCGAATGTTTATCAAAAGCTTGAGCTCTGGCTACGAGCCACTCAGCCCGGAAAAAAAAAAAAAAGAAAAGAAAAGGAAGTTCGTCTTTGGGGACACTGGGAAATGTAGTTTACTTATGCCTTGGTAAGACTGTCTCTGCCCACTGAATTTTGGGTAATGTAGTCCTGAACCGTTAACAGTTGGGTGGAGAAATTCCGCTTTAAGAGCCACATGAGCTTCATGGTAATTGGTTAGGTGTACTGTTTATCAAAGTACATTTGGTAAACTCTCTCTGGTGATTGGTGACCATAAAGGCGAGGCTAAACAGAATCAATACTTCTATTTGAAGTCGGCGCTGTCTATCTAGTGTCGTTCAGGGGCGGGTTTACGGAAGACTTGGCCTCTGATTGGCTGTATGAGCTGAAAAACTCCATAGAGCCCGTCCCCGACGTGCAACGATTGGCTCACAAGTAGGCGGGCCTGCGGGCGTCAGAGGCGGTGTCAGGGGAGGTGGCAGCTCCAGAGATGGCAGTGTGCGAGAGGAGGGGGCTCGGCCGCGGGAGCCCCGCCGAGTGGGGGCAGCTGCTCCTTCTGTTGCTGCTGTCCGGCAGCTGCTCGGGGCGCATCCACCGGCTGGCGCTGACGGTGAGGTCCCCCGCGCGGCGCCCTGGGGCGGGAGGGGTGTGGCCTTGTCGCGGAGCAGGCCCTGGCTTGGAGTGGTCTCGTCCGTCCTCCCCTGCGCCGTGCGCGGGTTGGAGCGGTCTGGCGCCCCCCTCCCCTTGCGACAATGATCTCGTCCCCCCCACTCCCCGCCCCCTGAGCTGTCCTCGCGATGGACTTTCCTGGCCCGGAGTGCTGGCTCGGTGTCGGCGCCCCCGGGCGCACCCCCGACTCTTCGCCCTTTACAATTCTTGGGGAGTCGCTAGAACCCCTTGGCGCCACTCAGAGGGGCTCCTGGAAGAGCCCTCGAGCGGGATCTTGGGGAATCCTTGGAAATCTCAACACACTGGGGTTCCAGTGGGGAATCTGAAAGTTTTCGGGGAGGTAAAGGCCGGCCACACATTCCAGGGGTGCCCCTCAGGTCTTTGGAGCGGGGCGGGGGGGGGACCCTTCAGTTCACCCAGTAGTCTCTCTTGGAAGATCCGAGGCCACCTTCTCGCTGCCTGGGACTAGAAGGGTGTGGGGAGGGAGGTGATGTCTCAGGCTTCTAGGACATCTCACACCCTTCCATCACCAAAGGCACCCCGAAGCTTTTGGAGGAACCCTCCTGACAGCCTTGGGGCCAGACTGGTGGGACGTCTGAGCTGCCTCTGTCCCCCTTTGCCTCCGGCAGGGGGAGAAACGATCCGACATCCAGCTGAACAACTTCGGCTTCTACACCAATGGCTCCCTGGAAGTGGAGTTGAGCGTCCTGCGGCTGGGCCTCCAGGAGACAGAAGCGAAGTTCCCGCTGGTGAGGGGCTTGGACGGGAGTGGGGGGCAAATTTCATCTCTCTCCCGGCACCCCCAGGTCCGGATTCCCAAGCTGACCCTCCGTCTGTGTCCCTCCTCGCCTGGGGGCAGTAGTAACGTGTCATACCATAGGTACTGGACACGGGTCTTAGTAGTTGGTGGGGCCATCCCAGTGGACAAGACAGTCCCAGATTCTGAAGTAAGTAATCAGCAAGCTCTGACCGAGCTGGGACCAGGTAACCAGTATCTCTGTGAGCCTCTTCCCAGGATGCTGTGGAAATTCACAGAGCCCACTTTTGATGGAGGTGTCCACGGGTAGAGAGGCAAGACTTTTTTAGAGTCTGGAAATGGCAGAGTCCTAATGCCAATTCTTTTATTTTTATTTTTTGCCCATCCTGGGGCTTGAACTCAGGACCTGGGTACTGTCCCTGAGCTTTTTTGATCAAGGCTGGCGCTCTACCACTTGAACCACAGCTCCACTTCTTCCTACTCCTTGGTGGTTAATTGGAGATAAGAGTGGAAGATGACCCTGAGTTGTTGGAAAGTTCAAAGAGAACGTGAGATCTGTCTCATAAGAGCTAGTCAGGGCTGGGAAGGTGGCTCAGTGGTAGAGCGCTTGCCTTGCATGACTGAGGCCCTGGGTTCGATTCCTCAGCACCACATAAGCAGAAAGAAAAAAGCCAGAAGTGGCGCTGGGGTTCAAGTGGTAGAGCGCTAGCCTTGAGCTGAAGAACTGAGGCACAGCGCCCAGGCCCAAAGTTCAGGCCCACGACCGGACCCAAAAAAAAAAGAGCTAGTCAGTGAGTGTGAGGTTTGGCTTCTGTTGTTCTAAGAGATCATTTGTCAGGGGCGGGGGGGGGTGTGGTCCCTGCTAGAGTTCCTCACGACCTCTTTCTTTCCACCACTAGGTGGGGTTCAGCCTGAGCCGAGTTCAGTCGGGCAGTGTTGGGTCCTACCCAGTAAGTGCCGGGAGCAGGGGAGGCAGTGGGGAGGAATGAACAGGATCGTTTGGGGCAGGCTGCTGTACCCAGAGGCAAGGATAGGAAGAGATCCTGGATGGGTGGGGAGGGGCTACGGTGGGGCTGGGGGAGAGGTAACCTAGATTCCATCTTCCCACTCCCCAGACAAGGGATCCCCATGAATGCCCTCTGCAGAGAAACAGCAGCAACTTCTTGGTTCTGTTCCTCATCGATACCAAGGACCTGCAGTGAGTTGCCCTCCCCCCTCCCCGGGGAGGGCTGGCCACAAAACCCTCTGTCATATTTCCCCCAGTGGAATGCCCACCTATGACCACACTGGTCAGGCAGAATGAGAAGCCAGCTGGAAAGAACCTTGGCATTCCTAGGGAGAAAGCCACCCACTTTTCCCAGTCACCTCCTAGACTGATTTTTGGGAGGAGGGCGAGAGGAGAGGATACTTAGAGAATAGAAATATCTGGATGCTGAAAGGTGTGTCAAGAATTCACAGCATTCCTTATTCATTTCTACTTGCTGATGTTCCCTGGGGGCTACACAGTCCTGGCACTTCATTGTGTCCGAACTCTGATTCTTTAGACCATTTTTTTGTTTGTCCTGGGGCTTGAACTCAGGGCCTGGGCACTGTCCCTGAGCCTCTTTGTGCTCAAGGCTAAGGATCTACCACTTTAACCACAGTGCCACTTCTAGTTTTTGAGTGGTTAATTGGAGACAGATAGTCTCACAAGGACTAGCTTCAAACCGTGATGCTCAGATCTCAGCCTCCTGAGTAGCTAGGATGACAGGCATGAGCCACTGGCACCACACTTGTACCTACAATTGTTCATCTTTCTCCTTTTCTCCCCCCTCCCCTTCCTCTCTCTCTCTCTGGAGTTTGAAATCAGGGCTTCAGCACTTGCTTGGCAAGTGCTGAGCCACATACCCCACCTCAGCCCTTTCTTGCTTTTAGTTTACTTTTCAGATAAGGTCTTATACTTTTGCCCAGGGTAGCCTTGGACTAAGATCCTCCTATCACAACCTTCTGTGTAGATTACAGGTGCACCACCAAATTCAGCTTGTTTGTTGAGATAAGATACTCATTAACGTATTGCTAGAGATGGAAAAAACAAACAAACTTCTAACTGAGACCCTCCCAGTCTCTGCCTCTCCTGTAGTTGGGATTACAGGCATAAACCATCATACCCAGCCCCAATGTTTTGTTTGTTTTTTTAATGGAACTTAATGGAGTGAGAGGCCTATATCACTGCAAGGTGACCATGGCTAGTTCAGGCAGCCTAGGAATTGTTCACTGGGCCGGCACCCAGATGCTGGAGTGTGGTGGTCCCCAGCGTAGCCAGATGCCCCCTCCTCAGGAGGAGATGCACAGAGCCAAGGGCCCCTAGAGTCCTTTCATACAGTGTTACCCTCCCTTACTCCAGGGTCCAGGTGCGGAAATATGGGGAGCAGAAGCAGCTGTTTATCTCACCTGGACTCCTTCCTGATGTGCCCTCCAAATCAGGGCTCCCGAAGCCAGAGCCCACAGATCCCAGTAAGGTGGACAGCGGTGAGTCAGGCACACCCAGCTGGTGCATCCCCTTACGTTCCTGCCCATCCCTCTGATTATCCAGCCTTGAAATCACCTCACCTATCTCCTACAGGGACCTCCACAGTCAGCAAGGCCAAGACAGAGCCTGTGTCTCAGGTTCCGGCCGGAAAGACCAGTAGTGATGGAGGCTCTGTTTCCCCTCAGGCCCCCAGTGGGAAAGACAAGGAGCTGGTGCTGGGCCTGGGTCACCTCAATGACTCGTACAACTTCAGCGTGAGTGTCTGTCATGCCGGTGACCCCTTCTCCCCACACCACCTATGGCCCCCCTCCCTGCTCCCCAACTTAGCCCTCCTCTCCTCTGTCCAGTTTCACATGGTGGTCGGCTCCAGAGCTGAGGAAGGACAGTATATCCTCAACTTCCATAATTGTTACAACTCCATCCCTGGCCGGGAGAGACCTTTTGACCTCACGGTGAGTGAGCCCCAGCCCCAGTGGGTGGGCAGGCAGGTAGGCCCCACCAAGCCTGGCTTCTCAACAGCCCCCAGGGGCCTGAAGGGAGGGTGACTGGAGGACAGTCACCCTTCCGTGTCCCCCAGCCTCAGGTTGAATGCTTTCCAGGTGGGTAGGGATGGATTGCATCCGTTCTGAATGCATGCATACTGGTTCCTGTCCTTGTCTCCTGGCATTTACAGTGACTGTAGCTTCTATGTCTAAAGATGTTTGAAGGTCACTGGGCCCCAGTGGGGCACACCTGTAATCCTAGCTACTTGGGAAGCTGAGATCTGAGGATCAGGGCTTGAGGCCAGCTCGGGCAGAAAAGTCTGTGAGACTCTTTATTTTCATTTATGCACCAGAAAGCCAGAACTGGAGCTGTGGCTCAAGTGGTAGAGCCCCATCCTTGAAAAAAAGCCAAGTGAGAGCTTGAGGCCCTGAGTTCAAGCCCCAGGACTAGCGCACACGTACACACACACACACACACACACACACACACACACACACAAAAGATGGTCAAAGGTCTACAGGAGGGTGTGCACAGATTCTAGGCAAATGCCAAGCCACTTTATAAGAGGCACCTGAGCATCTTGTATTTTGGTAGCTGAGGGAGTCCTGGAACCAAGCATCCAAGGATATCAAGGCATAAGGCATGACTATGCCCATTGGAGAGAGAGGGCAGACTGAGGCTCTGAGAGGGCAGGTCCCCCATCTAGGAAGCCGGAGAGCCGCAGACTCCCACTCAGCTCTCCCAAGTTCAGAGCTCAGAGTCTGTGACACCCCCCCACACACACTGCCCCTCCTCAGGTGATGATCCGGGAGAAGAACCCAGAAGGCTTCCTGTCGGCGGCAGAAATCCCCCTCTTCAAGCTCTACCTCGTCATGTCTGCCTGCTTCCTGGCTGCAGGCATCTTTTGGGTGTCTGTGCTCTGCAGGAACACGTAATACCCTGCCCCCCCCTCCTCCCCCCGTCCCTCACAACCTCCCACCTCCACTGACAGTCTCCCCACCTGCTTCTCCCCACACTGCCAGGTACAACGTTTTCAAGATCCATTGGCTTATGGCAGCCCTGGCATTCACCAAGAGCATTTCCCTCCTCTTCCACAGTGTGAGCACCTTGGGGGGAAGGGAGGGGGCTGGGGAGGCAGGCTACCCCCACATCGCCACAGATCTGGGCTATGCTGCAGTCATGTCATCCATCTGCCTGTCCTTCCCAGCTTTCCCTGTCCACCCTCCAGTCTGACCACTGGTCCATCCCAGATGCCACATCATCGTCTTAACATCATTGTGACTGTCCACTCACTGTCTAGTCCCCACAATCCCGATTGTACTCAGTCCATTCAGCCCTCTGGCCCCCAGCCCCCACCATCCCCCCCACCCATCCATCCTCCTGTCTGACTGTCCATCCATCCGTCCGCCTCCAGATCAACTACTACTTCATCAACAGCCAGGGCCACCCCATCGAAGGCCTCGCTGTCATGCACTATATCACGCACCTGTGAGTGGTCCCTGCGGTCAGGGCAGGTGGCGGGGAGGTGGGCAGGGGTGGGCTGGGCCCCCCTCATCATCATCGGGCTCCCACCCCGCCCCCCAGGCTGAAGGGCGCCCTCCTCTTCATCACGATCGCGCTGATCGGCTCGGGCTGGGCGTTCGTCAAGTACGTGCTGTCAGACAAGGAGAAGAAGATTTTTGGGATTGTGATCCCGCTGCAGGTGCTCGGCCTGGGAGACCGTGGAGGGGGTGGGGGCCGCCCCGAGGGGCGCTTCCAGTGGGCAGGGGTCAGGGATGTGGTCAGGTGGCGTCCATCCACCCACCCAGGTCCTGGGCAGGTCCTGGCCAACGTGGCCTACATCGTCATTGAGTCCCGGGAAGAGGGCGCCAGCGACTATGGCTTCTGGAAGAAGATCCTGTTCCTGGTGGACCTCATCTGCTGTGGCGCCATCCTCTTCCCTGTCGTCTGGTGAGGACCAGACCCACCCGCCCCTCACCCCGTCCAGGCCACGCCCATGAAAGGGGTGGAGCCCTGAGGACTACATCCTCTGTTGGTTCTTTCACCCGATGGGCGTGGTTTGAGCTGACCGCGCCCTCCGCCCCGCCTCCTCCCAGGTCCATCCGGCATCTCCAGGACGCGTCTGGCACAGATGGGAAGGGTGAGCCCCCTCCCTGCTCCAGGCCCTTTGTGCGCCCTGTCCCGTGACACCGAGCCCCCAGCCCTTGGCCACTCCACCCCTGTCCCCCGCATGTCCCTTGGCATTCCTCTGATCCTTTGTCCCTCCCCCTCCAGTGGCAGTGAACCTGGCCAAGCTGAAGCTGTTCCGCCACTACTATGTCATGGTAAGAGACGCATCCCCCACCCTGCAGGGCAGGCCCGGCTAGGTGGTAAGGGAGCCCCACCCTTCCCAGCCATCTGCCACCCCCCTCCCAGTGTGCTTCCCTGCCCTCTGCTGCCATCCTGAAGCCCCCAGCCCGCCCCATCCCTGTGGCCTGTCTGCCCCACGCCCACCCCTGCTCCCGCAGGTCATCTGTTACGTCTACTTCACTCGCATCATCGCCATCCTGCTGCGGGTGGCCGTGCCCTTCCAGTGGCAGTGGCTCTACCAGGTGAGCCAGGAGCCCTCGACCTCGGGTGGGCCACAGTGCAGGGAGGGTGCTGACCGCTCCTGCCCCTCTGCCCGCAGCTCCTGGTGGAGGGCTCCACTCTCACCTTCTTTGTGCTCACCGGCTACAAGTTCCAGCCCGCAGGAGACAACCCCTATTTGCAGCTGCCGCAGGAGGACGAAGAGGACGTGCAGATGGAGCAAGTGTGCGTACCCGTGCCTAGTGCCCTCTGGGGTGGGGCCTAGGCAGCTCTGGGGGTAGGACTAAGCAGGAGGGATGGGCCTAGACCATTCTGAGGGTGGAGTGGAGAGGGGTTGTGCCCCCTCCACCCTCCCCCAGAGGCCAAGGTGGGCAGGAACTGAGCAGCTGGGGTCGGGGTGGCTCTTCAGTACCTTTGGGGGCAGGGTTAGGGCAACTGAGTAGACGTTGAGCAATGAGACCAGCCAGGGCCGCTCCAGAGGCCAGGTGCGTGAAGACTGGCCGGCTGTGGAGTGGGAGGGGCCAGCGGCTCAGGGGCAGGGCTGAGGACATTGCTGGTCAGGTCCTGTTGCCCTTCGGCCTCTGAAAGACCTGGTGCTGTCTGTCCTCCTCAGAATGACGGACTCTGGGTTCCGGGAAGGCCTGTCCAAAGTCAACAAAACAGCCAGCGGCCGGGAGCTGCTGTGATTTTTCCGGAGCAGCTTGGCCATCATTGGCCTTTCTCCATTCTTCACCACACATTCCTGGGGCTCCCCAAAGACATAGCGGTGGGGGGGGGGAGCATGGGGACTCACTGGCTCCCAGGCCACAGCAGGAGTCTATTCAGAAGACAGAAAGCCTCCATCCCTCCCCGCCCCCACGCTGGGCAGCTGTCCTCTCCAGGATCCTCTACCCCCAGCTGTACAATACGACCGGTCTTGTTCTTGTCACCCGGTATCTTTTCTTTCTGGGACTGAGTTCTGGTGGGAAGCGGTCCTGACGGGGACGCAGTGCCCATGGCTTCCTGCAGTAAGGACCCTTCCCTGTATGCTGGGCACTGTGCCAGCTACCAGAGGCAGCAGTGACCAGGAGCCCTGTGGTCTCGGCCCTCGTGGGACTCCTGGCCCCTCGGAGGGAAATCAGGCCGAGGACCGTGCTCCCTCACCGCCCATCCGATCCGTGGTGGGAACCAGGGAGTTCAGCAAGGGGGGAGAAGAGACCTGGTGAAGAGCACTGACTGGATACACAAAACATGGAGGTGCAGGAGAAAGTGGGGACTCGAAGACTCGTGAGTGGCTCCCACTGAGGACCAACTTCTGGGGGGAGGGGGATACAGGCACAGAGAGGCTAAGTAACCTCCTTGGAGACACGCAGCAGGAGATACAGGGCTCAAGGCCAGACGCTGAGCACTGGGGGTGTTGCCCCTCTGCAGGGCTACCCTTAGCCATGCATACTGCACTCCCCGGGACCCAGCAGTGCTGTGTGCCTCTGGACCGCTGGCATAACCGCTCTGTCTCCTGCATGTGGAACTGCTCCTCCAGCATTGGGCAGAGTCCTGTATGAGCAGGGAATCAGTGGCGCTGTGTGGGCCCCGGCACCGTAGCCTCAGGCCGCACTGAGGGGCTCGTTCCCAGCACCCCCCTTCTCTGCCCACCTACTGGAAGACCACTTCTAAGTTCTAAAAATACACTTCTTTAAAGGGACCCATAGGCATAAGGGAGAAGCAGGGACCAGGGCTGGAATGAAAACTTCTAGAACAGGGAAACAAGACCAGCTGGGGCCCAGATGAATAAATAGCCCAGCCAGCCAAAGAAGGAAGTGGAGAGGCATTGCAGGCTGAGGAAGTTATGTAAGGTGGACGAGCCCCGGACTGAGCGCCAGCAGCACCGGCTGGGGATAGCAGGAGAGCTGGCAGGAGGCTGAAGACAGGCCCGGGCTCCAAGCTGGGGCCAGTCAGAGTCATGGAAGGATTTAGAGTGAGGAGGGGCCTGCCTAAGCCAAGAAGACAGACATGCCCACACCTTCCTCCCGGGGCCAGCCCCAAGGTAGCGGGAGCACTGTGAGATCAAGTGGAAGATCTGATGACAGGACCATTATCCAGATGGAGCTGGTGTCATCCCAGGAGTCCTTCAGTTCAAGTGGGAGGCAAGGAGGAGGGGGTTAGGGTGGGGACGCCATTCACAGAAGGGGCCACAAGCCAAGGAAGGCAAGCTAGCTTCTAGAAAAAGGTAATGAGCCAGGCATAGTGGCACACACCTGTAATCCCAGCACTTAAGAGGCACAAGACAAGAGGACTCCGAGTTCAACACCAGCCTGGGCTAACACATGGAGACCCTGACATAAAACTAAACAAAAAGTAACATTCTCCAGTGACTCTCATAGGCTGATCAAACTACCACCTTTCCCTTACCAAACCCCAGAGCAGCCCAGGAAAACCCAGGATTGGTGGCATAGCAGATCTGCAAGCACCAGCATCTTTAAATCATGCAGAACCCCTGGGACGGAAGGTCAAGAGTCCTGAGGCTAGAGCACCCCTGCCACTAACCGCAGGTGCACGCACTGGAAATCAGCACTCGCTACCATGCTGGGGTGACTGCATGTATACGCAGGAAGGGGTCACCATCCATCATTGGTGGCTGCCTAGGAGACATGGAGGACCCCAACCATCATTGGTGGTTGCCTAGGAGACACAGGACCACATCCATCCATCACTGGTGGTTGCCTAGGAGACACGGAGGATGCCACAGGCCCTGTGGAGAGAGGAACCAGAGCCTTGGGTGAGGAGCCCAGCGCTTGAGCACCAGCAAGGGCGCTTACCAACAGAACTTGAGGTTTACTTTTCCAGATGGGGACCCACGTTCAAGGGCTGAGCACTCCGCCACTGAGCCAACTCTCCAGTTCCGACAGCCCTAATGGCTTACCTACTTCAGACTTCAAAACTAAATGCTGCTCCCAACAAGGGAGAAAATATTGGCTATTTCTCTCTTTGTCTTTTGGGGTTCATTTGAGGTATTTCTGTTTTCTTGTACTTGCTTTATTTATTTTGTACTGGTTCCTGGACTTGAACTCAGGGCCTAGGAACTGTCTCTGAGTTCTTTTGCTCAAGGCTAGTTCTCAACCACTGGAGCCACAGGGCCACTTCTGACTTTTTGGTGGTGAATTGGAGAATCTCACAGACTTTCTTGCTCTAGCTAGCTTCAAACTGTGATCCTCAGATCTCAGCTTCCCGAGTAGCTGGGATTCCAGGTGTGAGCCACTGGTACCCAGCTCAGTAATGGCTTTTCTACTACCATTTCTACTTCTTTTCTGTCCACAATTAAAGTAGTTTTCAGCCAGGAGCTCATGGCTCACCTATAATCCTAGCTACTTGGGAGGCTGAGATCTGAGGATCGTAGTTGGAAGCCAGCTTAGGCAGGAAAGTCTGTGAGATTCTTATCTCCAATGAACCACTAGAAAACCAGAAGTGGTGCTGTGGCTCAAACTGGTAGAGCACCAGCCTTGAGCAAAAGAGCTCAGGGACAGCACCCAGGCCTTGAGTTCAAGCCCCACAACTGACGAAAATAAAAACTAAAGTAGTTTTCTCCCTTATCTGTCTTGTCTTTCTCTCCCATAATCCTTTATTGTCTTGGGGGGGCAGGTTGTTACATTGTTTGAATTTTATTTTTCTTTCTCACTACACTTTTAGCTGGATTTTTTAACCTCTTTGTTTTCATCGCACCCCCCCATTTACTTTAGCCACTCCACCTCTTCCCATCATATCTTCTTTCCATTTCTATCGTTGTGAGCTAATGTCTGCTTAGTCCTCCAAGTATTGTCTTTATTCTTTTTTGTTTTATTTTGTGCTGGTCTTGGGTCTTGAACTCAGGGAATGAGCTCAGTCCCTGAGATATTTTGCACTACTTGAACCACAGCTCCATTTCTGGCTTTTCTGATGGTGCATTAGGTAAGAGTTTAACAGACTTTCCTGCCTGGGCTGGCTTTGAATCATGATCCTCAGATCTCAGCCTCCTGAGCAGCTGGGATTACAGGCGTGAGCCACCAGTGCCCAGGTCATTTGTCTTTTCCTCTACAAACACCAGAGCAGTGCTTGATGAGAGATGTCTATGTGTGTATTTGTCAACTCTATTCTTCACTCACCTAAGCATTTAGCTCCCGCTAACCATCAGCATGGGAGGACTTGAAATCTCAGGCAGGGAACTGAAATGAAAGAGGGCATGGATAAACCTGAGCCTGAGAAGATTCAAGCAAGCAGCTGGATGAAGCAAGGTAGTCAATGCAGATGGGAAAAAGGAGTTGACACAGGTATAGAAATCCTGAAAAGAAGATTTAAGTGGAATTCTGGAAATAAAAGTTCAATAACAAATTTTTAAAACTCGCTTGGGAGTCTTCCTTACACAGTAGAATGAGGTAAAGATAGAGGCGTGAGAATAAAGTATAAGAATTAGGACATGCAGATAAAGACAATTTAGAAAGTATGAATGAAAAATGGCAAAACCCCTGGGACATCATTAAAAGCAAATCTAGCCAGGCACCAGTGACTCACACCTATAATCCTAGCTACTCAAGAAGCTCAAATCTGAGGATCATAATTTGAAGCCAGTCTGGGCAGGAAAGTCCATGAGACTCATATCCAATTAATAACCAAAAAGCAGAAAGTGGAGGTGTGGCTTGAGTGGTAGAGTGCCAGCCTTGAGCAAAAAAGCTCAGGGACAATGCCCAGGACTGACACACACAAACTATGAGTCATGGGCATAGAAGAAGGTGGAGAGGTACAAGGTAAAAGCATAGAAGTTATGTAACAGAAATTGTTCCCAGTCTTGAGAGGGGGTCATCCAAGTATTCAAAACACCAAATAAGTATGAGCAACAAAGAAACACCTCTAGATCTATGAGAGTAAAAACACCAAACAAAAAACAACAACAAAAAAGAATGAAACCAGGCACCAGTGGCTCACGCCTGTAATCCTAGCTACTCAGGAGGTTGAGATCTGAGGATTGTGGTAAAAGCCAGCCCAGGAAGTCTGTGAGACTCTTATCTCCAATAAACCACCAGAAAAGCAGAAGTGGCGCTATGGCTCAAGTGGTAGAGTGCTAGGCTTGAGCTGAAGAGCTCAGGGACAGCGCCCAGGCCCAGAGTCCAAGCCCCACAACTGACAAAAAAAAAAAAGAATGAAGAGAGGTGCAGGAAGTTCCCTATAAAGACAAACGCATCTGAATCACAGCAGATTTCCCAACAGAAACTCCAAAAGGCAAGAGGGGAGTGAATGGAATCAAGTCCTACAAGCCCTGAAAGAAATGTCAACCTAAATTCATCCAGCAGAGCCCACCTTCAGAACTGAAGGAGAAACAAAAACTTTCCACCACAAACAAAACCGAGAGGAATTCATGACTACTAAACCAGCACAGCAGCAGGATCCTGGTTCAAAACCGGCCTGGGCAGAAGGTTTATTGAGACCTATCTCCAATTTACTACCAAAAAGTTGGAGTGAGAAAGCTTAAGAACAGCACCCAGTCTATGAGTTCAAATCACAGGACTCACACACACACACACACACACACACACACACACACACACACACACACAATCTAGAAGAAATGGAAACCTTTCTAGATGTTTTTGAGCTACCTAAATTGACCCCAGAGGATATTAACCCTATAAACAGTTCTGTAATGAGACATGGAATTGAGGCAGGAATAAAGTCTTCCACCAAGGAAAACTCCAGCATCATATGAATTCATGGCTAACTCCTAACAACCTTTAAAGAAAGAACACCAGTGCCTCTCCAACGATTCTATGAAATAGGAAGGGAAGAACTACCACAAACCCTCTCTGTGAAGGCAGCATTACACTCATTCCCAAATCAGACAAAGATCCAGCCCCCTCCAAAAAACGTGGACTAATTTCCCCGATGAACATAGATGCAAAACAATCCTCACTGGAAGCTGGGTGCCAATGGCTCACGCCTGCAATCCTGGCTACACTGGGGGCTGAGATCTGAGGATCAGGATGCAAAGCCAGCCCAGGAAGAGAGTTTGTGAGACTCTTATTTCCAATTAACCAACAAAAAGCCAGAAGTATGGTTCAAGTGGTGGAGGGCCAGCCTTCAACCAAAGATGGTAAGGGACAAGCCTCATAGCGTGAGCATGTGCATGCATGCCTACAAACACACAATCTAGAAGAAATGGGAACCTTTCTAGATGTTTTTGACCTACCACGTTGACCCCCCAAAAGATATAAACTGCACAAACAGGTCTGTAATGAGGCATGGAATGAAGCAAGAATAAACAATCTTCCAACAAGGAAAACCCCACCATCATATGATTTCACTGCCAACTCCTACATCCTTTAAAGAAATAACACCAGTGCTTCTCCAACTATTCCATGAAGTAGGAAGGGAGGGACCACCACCCAACCCCCACACACATGCACCCAAAATTCTCACTGGCATACTTGCAATCAAAATTCAGCAGCACAATTAAAAAGTGAGGGAGTTAGTTTCGTGATGGACATTCAAGGACAGTTCAACACAGGTAAATGAATGAATGTAATACAGGACATCTACTGAACCCATCTACGTGATCCTCTCAAGATGCAGAAAATGTCCTTAACAAACTTCAAGATCCTTTTACAACACAACCTCCAAAAAAATGAGGAATATGGGCTAGGAAGGTGGCTCAGTGGTAGAGGGCTTGCCTTGCATGCATGAGGCCCTGGGTTCGATTCCTCAGCACCACATAAGCAAAAAGAAAAAAGCCAGAAGTGGCGCTGTGGCTCAAGTGGTAGAGCGCTAGCCTTGAGCTGAAGAACTGAGGGACAGTGCCCAGGCCCAGAGTTCAGGCCCACGACCGGACCCAAAAAAAGAAAGAAAGAAAGACAGAAAGAAAGGAGGAATAAGGAATAGAAACAACATACCTTAACATAGTAAGGGCTACATATGACAACCTCTGGCCAACATCACATTAAATGAGGGAGAAAATTGAAATCACTTCTTCTAAAGTCAGGAATGAGACCAAGTGTCCACTCTCTCCATCCTTTTTTTTTTTTTT